GGTGCTCAGTTGTACATCGGATCTACAGGGCAGACTGTTCATCGCAGGGAACTGACACGAAGACGCAAGTTGATCCAACTATCCCGAGACCGGATTGCTTACTATGAGCCTGCTCTGAAGATCTGGCACCACCAAGGTAATTTCTACCAGGGCATTTGTGTGGTCCTTCACCAAGAACCACAATTGGAATCCAGACTAGCTCTGGAATCTTCACTGATTCAGGTGTACCGAAGCAATCTGAATGCTCCTTGGGTCGGAGTGATGCTCAGCAAGCTCCGATTACATGAGAAGAAGTTCCCGGTTTTCGGCACGAAGGTGGGGAAACGTTTTATTCGCAGAGCCAGCAGACATGCACGATACAGACATGTTGCCGTGGCATTCAATCAACATACCATTGCTGATTCGACCGAGGTTTGCCGTTCATTGTACCGCTTAGGATCGAACACCCGTCAGAAATTCGAGGAATCCAAGCTGCTACGCTCGAACAAAGTACCCCTTGCTGCACTTTATCTCAGAGTTCGATTTTTGAAGTTCATCGATGAACCATGGCGAGGCCGAGCTCAGCGACAGTTGCAGAGTGCGCTTCGGTTCAGGAAAGGTGATTTGCCACCACAGAATGCTGCAACCTACTGCACATGATTTACGGACAGAGGTGAAGTTGTTGATAAGAAACCTGCTTCGGCAGCAGAAGCACAACTTCCCACCCCTGCACTTGCCATCCGACAAACTGGTTCTCAGGCGGGGCAAACAGTTGACACAGCTTGTTTTCAACTATCGTGCTTTTATGCGAACATGGACTAGGAATGCAAAGGTCCAGTGCAAGTGCAGGATGTATCTACCGACCATCCAAGCCAGCTCGATCGTGGAAGGTCATGTGATGTGTGCAGCCAGGGACATCGCCCCGACATCGTGCTTGGCTAAGGCGAACCTTGCGGACACCACATTTCTTCAGGAAGTCGCGGGTCCTTGCAGCGCTCACGAATTGGTGCAATCGTTGGAAGCTTCCTTCAGATGCTTTCAAATACATGTCACCCTGGATAGACAAGCAATGGAGTCTTCATGTCACAGGTTTGCACCAAGACACACAATCCGTGTGGAATCCCAGACAAGTCAAGGAGGCCACTCGTCTCTTTGCAGGATTGGTGCTGGGACCTGCGGATCATTTCCCTCATTCGCTTTTCGTTGCTTGCCCTGTTCACTATCACAAGTTGCTATGCAGAAGTTTTGGCGACCCAGCAGTGTTTATGCCATGCAGGAACGGTACAGGCACCATCATTCAGCATTTGCATCGAGAATTTGAGGACCAGCATCCCGAACTCCAATGTTACAAGTGGGCTTTTCAGTGGAACCGAGGTCTTCCGACTGCTAGGATCCTCCCCAAAGGATCCAAGAACTTCGCGAAAGCCAGACCCATCATAGCCTACACGAAATGTTGGCACACCAAGGCCAGTTCCTTCTTAGCCACAGCGCTGTATTCGATCATGCAAGTTCTTTTCCCAGCAGGAACCACATTGAATATCAGCTCCGTCACAGCAGGCCTCAGACAAGCTTGGAGGTACATGCAACAGTTTGAGCAGGACGACCCAGTCATGATCCAACAAGACCTTATCGGTTTCTTCAATTCAGTTCCACACTCTCGTATTTGCACTGCTCTACAGCTAGTTCTGTACCAGCTGCAGGAACATTTCGGTCAGGATCTTGACAGTTTGACCTTTCAGGTGGATCACAAAGCAGGCACAAAAGAGCTCAGGATCTTCAAAGGCCATCGACGTTTTCGCGGATCCACTACGAAGGTTCTTCATATCAAACATGTCATGGAATTGACCAAATTCCGGCTGCAGTCAGCCTACTTCAAGGTGGGAATGGATACTTTCTGTCAGATTCAAGGTGCATGTATGGGCTCACCTTTGGACCCAGTCTTGTGTGCAATGGTTGCTGCTGAGCAAGAATTCTTGACCATTCGCAGCCTCAGAACTCAGTTGGACGATGCAGGTCTACTTCGTAGTTTTCGGTATGCAGGCAACAGATGTTTCTTTCTGCGAAGGGCCGAATGCTACACTGATTGGGCCTGTCTCTTCTTACGTCTTGATTTCTACGGTCTGCCCATCGAGCTGGAACAAGTACCAGGAGAAGAACTGTTAGGATCAACTACATCTGTGACACAAGGCACCATCACCATGCGACAGCCGATCAATGAGACAGTTCTGAGGTCCACCCGATCGGCAGGAGATCGCAGCGCAGCATTGTCAGGTTTTCAAGCCAGAGCCCTCAGTATCAAGCGACATGCCCGACCAATTCGCCTGATTCGACCGCAAGTGGAGGACTTAATTGAAATCTACAGAAGACGCGGTTTCGAACTTCAGGAGCTTTTTAGACTCGCGTCGAAGTTTCGTGCCTAAAAGACAGTTTTGACCTGTATGCTGTACTTGCATGCAGACATGTTGACGACTCAGATGCATTTATCTTAACATGTCAGGTACCCGAAGCACTGCTCAGGTCCAAAGACAGCCATCCAACTTAGGCACCCTTCGTTATTACAGGCATGGATCAACAAATGATGAACGACACTCGCTGGCGCATCGACCGCGCTTCCACGGCACAGCTGTTGGAGCTTTTGTGGCAAATATGGGATCGACTCAATCGGCGCTTCAGGTTCATGGACGGTCCCATCAGATGTCATCGACAGTGCGAGCATTGTGCGAATCGCTGTTGTCATCACAGTCACTCCACGACCGAAGAGAGCCGACACGAATGGTGTGGACCACACCGATGTTTCCTTCATGATGATAATGGATACGAGTACTTGTAAACTTCGACAGGACTGGATGCGATAACATCAA